GTTTTAAATTTAGTCGGAACCCATTAACGTCCATGCTTCGTATTATGCTTTATTTTCCATATTTTTATAATAATAATATTTTAATCATAACATAAAATACCTATAACAACCATCATACCGAACATAAAATAAACAAAAAAAATTCTTCTACCTATGCATTTATATTTTCCGAATTTAAAACCAAAATTTATTAAATCAATATAAATATATAATACCAATCGACCAAAAATTAATAAAATATTGTCCAAACTAAAAACATCAAATATATCTTTTATAATCCGCAAATTCGATTCCCCATAAATACGAAATCCTAAAGAAATAATTATACGAATCTAAAATAACAATATATTTATAAAACAATATTATTTCAAAATTCATACATATATTATAACAATTAAAATTATACAATATATATTTCAAATTCTATCGATTCAATTAAATTTAAAATCGACAATAAAATGTAGAATCACCAAAATATATAATAAATTCGTATTCGTTATATAAATTTTCAAAATATTTACATATTTCAAGATTTTTAGCTTTTATCGAAATATAATGACAAATCAATAATTTAATAGGATTCGGAGATCCTTTATACGTCGTATAAATTAAATAGGATTTCAAAATTGATTTCAAATTAATTGATTGTTATATTACAATACATTATATATATATATACATATTTATTGGATATCTTGGATATCTATGGATTCGTTAACAATATGGCATGCCTTGAGGCCCTTGCCACAACCGCAATCATCGCCATTTCCTTCAATATTGGTGCACATGCTTGTTGTTCAGATTTCTTCAGTGTCTTGTATTTCCACGGATATTGATCGATATTAAGGTTTCCGCCCATCTGCCTATTGATAAGATCTTGGCCAATGGTAGCGGCAAAAAATTGCGTGCGCATCTCTTGGTCTTGAACCTGATCCAACTTATCCCCTCATGCATAGTTGATTCTGCTCAAGTCTTGTGAACATGATCTATGGTTGCCTGTCCTCGCGAACAATTTGCTCAGCCCATCTTTGTGGATCATCTTGCTCAAAGTCTCGAGGGGTTTCTGGCAGATGCCTGCAGGATGGAACGCAATCTTCTGATATATGTTTTTTTAAAAGGAAGTTTGTTCTATCATGTCTCACCGGGTTACAAGTGTCAATGTCTTGCGACCAAGGGACAAAGGCTTGTCCCAGCCTCAGCATGCAGAATGTAGAGTACTGTAATATTAATGTGATAATGAAGCTGCAAGTCTGCACGTGTTGCACTGAGCTGCCAAATGCTCTTTCGACATACACCGCCTTTAGCAGCTTTGCATATTCGATGGACAAGTGATGCCTGAGAGCAACATGACCAAACCAAGTGATTGGCATTGCTTGGTAGGCAAACATTGCCACCTCAGTGGTGGACTGAATTGTCTTCAGCAAGTGTTGCGGCAAATATCTCATGTCGGAGGCCTTGACATACCACACCTCGCAAAGGCATCCAAATCAGTATTTACGAGAGCATAGAAGAAGTTATTGAGAACAAGTCTAATCATACATTCATATATTACATTACATTACATTACATTACATTACATTAGATTAACATTACATTCACATTACATTCACATTACATTAACAGTACATTAACATTACATCACATCACATCACATACATTACATTCATGCACCCATGCATACATGCACATCAATCCATGCGTCCATACATACGTACATGCATACTTACATACATACGT